TGGGTGCTCGATGTTCATGGGCGCGCTCGCAGCGTGGGTGCTCGGTGTGCGTGGGTGTGCTCGTAGCGTGGGTGCGGGGTGTGCGTGGGTGCTCGGTGTGCGTGGGTGCGCTTGCAGCGTGGGTGTGGGGTGTGCGTGGGTGCGCTCGTAACGTGGGTGCTCGGTGTGCGTGGGTGCAGGGTGTTCGTGGGTGCGCTAGCAGCGTGGGTGCGGGGTGTGCGTGGGTGCGCTCGCAGCGTGGGTGCTCGGTGTGCGTGGGTGCGCTCGCAGCGTGGGTGCTCGGTGTGCGTGGGTGTGCTCGCAGCGTGGGTGTGCGGTGTGCGTGGGTGCGCTTGCAGCGTGGGTGTGGGGTGTGCGTGGGTGCTCGGTGTGCGTGGGTGCGCTCACAGCGTGGGTGCGGGGTGTGCGTGGGTGTGCTCGCCGCGTGGGTGCTCGGTGTGCGTGGGTGTGCTCGCAGCGTGGGTGCTCGGTGTGCGTGGGTGTGCTCGCAGCGTGGGTGCTCGGTGTGCGTGGGTGCGCTTGCCGCGTGGGTGTGGGGTGTGCGTGGGTGCGCTCGTAGCGTGGGTGCTCGGTGTGCGTGGGTGCAGGGTGTTCGTGGGTGCGCTCGCAGCGTGGGTGCGGGGTGTGCGTGGGTGCGCTCGCAGTGGGTGCTCGGTGTGCGTGGGTGTGCTCGCAGCGTGGGTGCGGGGTGTGCGTGGGTGCGCTCGCAGCGTGGGTGCTCGGTGTGCGTGGGTGTGCTCGCAGCGTGGGTGCTCGGTGTGCGTGGGTGTGCTTGCAGCGTGGGTGTGGGGTGTGCGTGGGTGCGCTCGTAGCGTGGGTGCTCGGTGTGCGTGGGTGTGCTCGCAGCGTGGGTGCGGGGTGTGCGTGGGTGCGCTCGCAGCGTGGGTGCTCGGTGTGCGTGGGTGCGCTTGCAGCGTGGGTGCTCGGTGTGCGTGGGTGCGCTCGCAGCGTGGGTGTGCTCGCAGCGTGGGTGCTCGGTGTGCGTGGTGTGCGTGGGTGCGCTCGCAGCGTGGGTGCGGGGTGTGCGTGGGTGCGCTCGTAGCGTGGGGTATTGGTGGCCCGGAGACTTCCATCAGGGATAAAAGAACTCTGAGGTACAGGAGGAGGGGCCCAGGGAGGCCAAGATGGCAAAGATTGTGCAGAGAATGATCTGACCCCTCATCCCCCCTGAAAGCCCCACGGAATGACCCAGCTGTTGTGCACATGAAAGCTGAAACAGGTGTTTACAGCAGCTGTATTTGTAACTGCCAAAACCCGGAGGCCACCAAGTTGTCCTGCAGTAGGTGATGGACACATAGACTGGTCCTTCCAGACAGTGGGGTAATATTCAGTATAGAAAGGGAATGAGCCGTGAAGCCGTGAGAAGACATGGAGGAGTCGTAAGTGCAGATTACTAAGTGAGAGAAGCTACTCTGCAGAGTCTACACACTGCATCATCCCAACTCTGTGACCTTTTGGAAAAGGCAAAACTAGGGACACAGTAAAGAGAGGAGTGGCTGCCAGGGGAAGGGGGAGGGAGGGTGAGCGGGCGGGGCACAGAGGGCTTCGGGCAGTGAGACCACTCCGTGTGACCCTGTCACGGTGGGTACGTGTCCTCACACATTCGTGCAAACCCACGGAGCATGCACCACCAGCAGCGACCCTGATGTAGACTGTGGACTCTGGGGGATGACAGTTGTCCACGCGGGCTCATCAGTGGTGCCAAATGCACCGTCCAGAGGGGATGCTGTAGTGGGGGTGCTGTTGGGGGAGGCTGTGCATGTGGAGGGGGGCATATGAGAAATCTCTGTAGCTCTCTCTCCATTTTGCTCTGAACCTAAAACTGCTCTAAAAATGTAAAGTCCTTTAAAAAAAAAAAAATGGTGTTTTGTTTTTTTTTAATTAGCTCTTGAGGTGCTTGGGGTGAACAGACGATTTGTAGAACAAGGTGCTGAATTTCGCGTCTGGAATGACAAAGGGCAAAGGAGAAGAGCCCAGATCCAGTGCTGGGCTTCCCCAGAGTGGGGCGGACCAGGTGTTACCTCCCGGATTTGCAGGTGGTAGGAGGGCTCTGGGCCGGCCGGGCCATGTGGTCCAGAGTCTGCGCCAAATTTCGTGCATTGTCCAAGAGGCAGGAAGGGAGAGCTGCATCCAGTTACTTCTATGGGAGCTGAAAGTCCAAAATCGGAATAGCTAGCCGTGGCAGGGGGTTCGGTGAGCACACCGCATTCCTAACAGGGGGACACATTAACCCAGTTTTGGGGGGGGGTGAGTGATGGTGCCACGAGAAACTTCTCTCTTCCTCAACAACAGCATTTCCTTGAATGTTTTAAAGGCTTCTGGTGGTTGTGATTCTTTTTAAGAGGCTGAGTTGGAAACCAGCATCGATTTTGTTAAAACTGGCTTGCTCGACTGCTGGGGCATCATGAGGAAGCAGAGAGATCAAGTGGGGCAGGCCCCTTGAGGCGCATCCCCGTTCAGGACAGGCCAGGGGGATAGGACGCCCGAGCATCGGCGCTCCCGCCCCGGCCACGTTCTCCTTCTGTCACTGCGCACATCTGTGCAGCTCCTCGGGCGCGGGACGCAGCCACAGCTCGTGTGGGCTCTGAGCCGTTCGCACCCGGGCCTCTCCTCCAGCCAGCCACTCCTGCGTCCTGTGCTCACTCCCTTCCCGGCTCTGTGCCCCGGGCAAGGCGTGATCCCCGGGTGGAAGAGGCGCTGTGGTCTGTCCGTGTCCCGTGCCCTGCATGGCGGCTGCTCGGAGGCGGCACCCAGTGAGCTCAGGGACCTGCATGGGAGCCGCTCCAGGTCGGAGGGAGCTAAACGAAGTGGACAACCAAGCTCATAGTGGTGACTTCCACTGGCTTCACCTGAGCCGTGCGGGTCCCCCAGAGTTCTCTCCAGCTGGGACGCTGTCCCCACGCTGTCCCTGCACACACACCCAGTGAGTGCGGGGTGGAGGGCAGGGGGGCACGGAGTCCCGTGGGGCGCTGGGCCCCCGTGCCGGGTGAAGGATGGGGGCGCGGAGGCCTGTGTGTGTGGCTGCTCAGCAAAGCCTAGTTAACTTTCACCTTGATCGTCCCTGAGCCGTGAACATCTGACTGGGGAAGTGTAGCTAGATGTCATCACAACAAGCCATTTTTCCGCAGAAGAAATTGGGGAGAACTGGAGCTGGAAGCTGTCAGGTCATTTACGGTTCAAAGGCTCAGCCTTAGGAGCCGCGGGTGTGCTGTCCAGATGGATGAGAGCGGTTTCCCGGGAGCATTGCACTGGATGGAGATGCGTCTCAGCTGCCTCTGGTGACTCAAGTTGTGTTTCACTTCCCGATCTGTGCACCCGAATAATCAAGTGAACGGTGACATTCCAAGTTCTCTTTAACTTTCTCATCACTGACACTTTAGCCGACTAAAAGCTTCCAGAAATCCTCTGCAGAAAGGATAAACGTTGATGTCTGTCTGGGGTGGTCTCCTTGGAAGCCATGTCCCACTCTGCCCCCAATTCCAGTGGAATGACATAGTAATTCATCGACTATGAAGTAAATTAATCTAAGAACTGAATTCTTGCATCTTAGCTCCAAGAAAGTGAAATACATTGATGGTGGAAGAATTGGAGAGTGTTTCAAGGTTTTTACAGTATATGTCATATGTATTAGTGATTTCTTTCAAACCTTTTTTTTTTTTTAAATAAAATGTCAGTTTTTCTGTGAAAGATTAATGGGGATATCCACTTGTGTTTGTCACATACAAGATTGCTTTACCGTATTTTCAATGGAAATATGACAATTAAAAAGATGAAGAGGTCGTTTATGAACATCTCCCCTTCCCTAGGCTGCCTCATCATTGTCTGGCCAGTTCCTTTGCCCACTAGTTTATTTTTGCTTCTGTTTTCCTTGTCTGAGAAGAAAGTTCCAGAAAGATATTGCTGAGGCTGGAATCAAAAAGATCACAGCCTGTGCTCTCTTCTAGGAGTTCTGTGGTCTCAGGTCTCACATCTAGGTCTTTGATCCATTTAGAGTTTATTTCTGTGTGTGGTCCCATCTCAGGTTTGGAAGTGCAGCCTGGGGAGCAGAGTCCAGAACGTTGTCATCCTGTGTGTGGGGCCAGATGTTGACTGCACTGCTTACGGGAACACTGCAGGGCACGCGGAATTGTCCAGTCAGTATGTGGCGTGAAACTAACGCACCTCTGTGTGTCAGCTGTGCGTGAGTTAAAGGTTTCTGCCACCCAGTGTTGGAAAGAGCATGGGAGAAACCAGCGATCCTGTAGTTGCCTTTCTGGACCGTGCGTCTCAGAAGCCAGCGGAAGGTACTTACCCTTCGGACAATCCCGTTTGCAGGGATTTCTCTGAAGGAACTCAGTGGTCAGGTGTGCAAAGTTATGTATGACAAGGACAGTCAGCAGCTGTTTGTGATAGTGGAAATTTAGAATCAACCTCCATGTGTGGAATTTAGGACAATGGTTAAATTATAATTTGCTAGAGACATGGAATATTACGTAACCATTAAAAGACCACGTAGATGTAAATGTATCTTAATATATTATTCTGTCATGTATTAACTTTTGAATATTATATATGATATACAAATGTATAATAACAAAAGTGGGTAGCATGATCCCATTAAGATGTGTGTGTATACACAATATATGCGGGTTGTTAGCACACATGAGAAAAAGTTCCAGACTGTGCACCAAAACGTTAAGAGATTTGCATGGTAATGATGAGAGGTATGCTATGTGGAATATTCTTTTTTCTGCTTCCTTTTCATGAGTTATATTTTTCTCTCATTTTATAAAAATCCAGAGGTTAAATAATCACAGGTCGTTCCTTTCTCCTGGCTGGATATAGGGCTGGTGCCCTCTGACAAGGCTCTTGGCTTCCTGAGCTCAGTGCCGAGGGCAGAGGCTGGGTTTCACGAGCTGTTGGGTCTCACGTCTTCGGGGCATTAGGTTGGGGAAGGGTGCCAGGGCCGGCAAATGTCTGGTCACGTGATGCCGTGTTGACCGTCCCCTTGTCTCCTGCAGATGAGGACGCCAAGGACCCCCCTCGAAGGCGGTTCTACACGGCGAGTTTGCCTCCTGAGGGGTACGTCCCCGCTCCGCCAGAGCCACAGGGCAGCCCGGCCTCCGAGGACACCTCAGGAAGCGATGATGCGGGAGGAGGGCACCAGCTCTCAGGTGAGGCGTGATTCCACGGTGTCCCACTTTTGTAGACTCACAGTGAGAGGGCCAGGTGAGCATGTCCGCAGACGGCCACACGATGGGCTGGACGTGTCTTGCCGCCATTAAAAATGACAGGGAGACAGGCTCAGGTGGGAGGAGCCTGAGCCTGAACGGGGGGCCGGGGCGTAATTGTCGGTAGGTTAGGAGAAGTTTACTGTTAAATACAGCATGATGTCAGTGGTACTTGTTCTGGCTTAAGTAGAACTTTTTTCTTGATTTTCCAATTTTTTTATAATTTCTGAGATTGTATATCAATTTTATGATTATGGGAATCACTTCTTTGGCGTCTGTTTCATGGACAGACTGAATGACTGTTCTGCTGTTGTGCTGGAACGTCCTGGGAACGTCCTGGGACGAAGGAAGGTGAGGCGCCTGCTTTGGGGGGTGCTGGCTGCATGGTCGTCAAGGAAAGAGGATTCTGGAGTTGTCCAGTAAAAATTTTACCCAGATGATTTTCTAACGAGTATAAAGAACTCTGTACTCTAAAGCTTACTTAATTTGAACATCAAGAAAATGTGGTTTCCTTGTACATCGATCTTCCTGAGTCCCTAATTAAAGGATCAGAAACCATAAAACCAAAAATGGGGTAGCTAAGGAAAAATGTACTCATCTTTTCAAGCCCTGTTGAAAATCTTTGGAATGTAATTATTGGGTGAATAGATTATTTAATTAGAAAACTACGTTCTTATGAAGATCGGTGACTTTGGTGAGCATACTTCACATGTACCTCGCATACTCAGTACAAAACATGCGGGACTCCTCCCCGTGCCCCTGGACACGATTCCGCTCACCCACAGCTGTGCACGGTTAGCTCTGCTGGCGAGGCCAGCGAGGGCCCGGCTGCGTCCTGGACCCCCGCATCGACAGCGTGAGTGTGTCCTGAGACTGCAGGTTCTGAGCTGGGGTGATGTCCGCACAGGACGTGGAGGGGTGTTGGCACAACTGGGCAAGTGCATCCCGGCCGAAAGGTGCCCCCACGCGGGCAGCCAGCAGCTGGCCTGACGGTGGCCCACGGCTGAGAGCAAAACTGGGAAGACCGGGGGGCTGCCGACTAGAATTCCGTGGTAACCTGGCAAATTCACTAGTAAGTTGGACAGCGTTGACTGCAACATTATTACAGGATCCATGTCTGCAACTTGTGAGGCAGAATCTTTCTGTGAATTGTCTCTTCCTCTGTTACTTGTTGTGGGCGTGGGTCTTCCTTTTCCCAGAGGCCGTGATCGGGGAGGGGCGTGGTGGAGATGGGGGCTGATGGGACTTGCGTCCCCACCCCCTCACCCTCTGAGGAGAGCGTGGGCAGGCCCCTCCCTGAGCTGTCTTGCGCACCTCGCTCCGTCCGTTCTGACTCGGGACCCTGAGCAGCCGTCTGCCACTGGGGTCTCTCCACAGCAGGCGGAGTCGGGGGCTCCTCACGGCTGGGGACCGTGTCTGGGCTTGAGGAGGCGATTCTTTCTGAAGGCGCTGTGAGCTCGGTTTCCCAAGTCAGTGCTGCTGAAAATGCTGCCCACTTTTCCAGAAGAGCTTTGAATAACTTACTCATCAGAGTGAGGCTGGGAAGTCCGTATCTTTCCCTTTTCAACACTTGGAACCCATCTCTGTTTCCATCTGCTTTGTTTGCTGTTTATCATGTTTTCTTCCTGTTGTCGGCCCAGGAAGTGGGCCGCTGCAGGGTGCTGGAGTGGATAAAGTTGGAGGAGTGTTCACCCAGGCCTCCTACCAGTGGTCTCCAGAATGAACGAGCATTCAGAGTCTGTAGCGCCCAGCCCCGCACAGTGGGTGTGCAGCCTGAGCAGGCTCCAGGTGGGAGGTGTGCAGACCGGGAAGCTGGGAGGAGGAGTCCTGAATCTTTCCGTTTGCAGTTTTAAGCAAAGAGAACATGAGCACTGACGTTGGAAAAGAAGAAAAAGTCAAATTGTTTCTGTTTTTCCAAGAACCACTTCTGGCCATTGACTTCCACTGTGAATACGCAGGACCAGTAAGTCAATGACATAGTAGCTTGGAGAAAACTTTAGGAGAAAAGGGGTGACTCCATCCTGCTTTTGTGTCCACGTGTGTCCAGCAGGCCGGCTGCTTGCGGCCTGCAGGTTCTGTGCACCCTCACCAGGCACTCCTGCAGGGCACGGCCGCGGCCCAGAGCACCTGAGCCCCCAGGCCGCCCGGGGAGCCCCCGTCCATTGGTCATCCTGCACCAACCCCCTCCCCGGGAAGCCCCCATCCCCGTCACCCCTCACTGGCCCCACTGCCTGTGTCCTTGGGCCCTGATGTGAATGCACCTGGGGCTTGTGAACTGTCCTCACTAGGTTTGTTCCAGGCCCACGTGTGTTCGCTGTGGACACAAGCATGTACTCTCGGAGACCCGGTATCGCTGGTGTGCTGCTTGCTGTCTGCACGGCCTTTCCCATTCCGGGGGTAATCTCTGAGTGTAACAAATACAGACTTGAATTCTCTTAGGCCTACTGTTTGTGAGCAGTGGGCCAGTGGCAGCTGTAGGGAAAGGAAGGAGCTTCGTCAAACCAAGTGGGTCCTATCGGACTCCAGGATCCCCCTCCTATGTTTGATTCACACAGGTGCCCTGGTACAGCTTTCGAGAAGAAGAACTTCATGCTCCCGTGCTCCGTCCTGCCTCGGACACCTGGCGTTTCTGTGTTTGCTCACATGGTGTCGCACGTTGTTCTCAACGAGCCAGTAAACCGCGACCTGTAGCTCTTCCCCGGAAAATGCTAACTGGTTGAGTCACTTCTCTGGCGGGAACACTGTTCAGCTCACCGTCTTGGTGCACCCCCAGGAACGCGGCCCTGTGTGACGTTACATAATGCAGGACCTTACCGTGAAAGTCCTCCCAGGCAGTCAGGTAATAAGTACTGTTAGCAGCTCAGTCATTTCCCCAGCACACCGCCTGGCGGGACCCTGGGGACTCAGGTGCCCACTGGTGGAAACATGAGCAGACGCGGAGCCTCCTGCAGATGCCCCAAGCTCGTCCCCCGAGCAGCCTTGTGTCACCCGCAGAGGGAGAGGCATGCAGTGGCTCCGCGTGCAGGTGTCCTGGGTTGGTCTGAGCCATTGGTCCTGGGGGTGTGGACCCGTCAGAAGTGGTCCAGTGCTGGTGTGGGTGTGGGAGGGGAGCACCCGTCACTCCGTCCCCGGGGTCTGGTGAGTGCTCCCGCTATGCTGCGGGAGGTCATAAGAAAGCTCTGCACCCACTCTGTGTCAGCACCCCTTTCTCTAACAATATCATTGTGGAATTTCATTTTTAATGAGGTTAGTTAAAGGCCTGGAGGGTGTTTTTTGTTGTTAGCTTGTTTTAGTAAAGCTGTCATTTCAAACTTTGTTCTTCGCTCACTGTATATCCCCTGATGTTTATATAAAAATGAAAATTTGTTTTAGCATTCAGTGCTAGAAAATGCTTTGGTTGTTAGGAACTGGTGTGCTGCTTCTTATTGGACAAGAAATGTTTTACTCAGATACACTCTTTTTGCTTTGGCTGCCAGGGAGCTCAGATCATAGTTTTTTGTTGTCTTCATCCAGTTGCAGTTGGTTTCCTCGATCTCTGTTCTCTGATAGTTACCTCTCCCCACCTCTCAATGCTTGGGCTTTCTTTTTAGATTGAGTCCTTAAGATGTTGATTTTTCTAAGCTACACCCTACCCGTTTTGGAAATAAAAAGAGTAAACAGTGTTCAACCACGAGTTCTCTCAACTAGTAAATGCCTGTTTGATGTTTGTGCTGGCTGCGTGGTCAGGCCCTGGGACCACGAAGACAGCAGACAGGGCCCTGCCTGAGGGGCTCGTCCCCGGGAGACTCGCGCGAGCCCCGAGGTAGAGTAGGTTATCTGACAACAGGCAGCAGTGAATGCCGCCGGAGCACAGAGTGACCTCGGGGACATCCGCACGAGTGCGCAGGACTCAGCACGGCAGGCGGGGCACCTGATCCTGTGGAGAGCATGACTTAGGAACGAGGGACAGAGGGTAGCAGGACCTCTGGCAAGGAGACGCCAGGTGTGCAGCGGGAGACCCAGCTGTGATGCAGTCAGCCGTGCTCAGCATCACAGAGGCTGCGCCCGCCCACCGGCGGGGACGGGTGAACAGGGGATGAGCAGTGCAGGGACTTTGGATGGCGTCCCAGGTGACCTCTGGGGCCTGGACTTGGCACGTCTAGGGCACGGGAAGGGAGAGAGGGCACCGTGACCTAAGCCGTCGTGGGTGATGGAGGGAAGGTGTTCCCACGGGTAGCAGTCAGACGTGTGACTTTCCTCGAGAGAAGGACCCCCCTCCCCACGTCAGTGCTTCTGACTCTGGAGGACCTGCGGTGAGGACACAGAGACCACGACTGTCGTGAGCATCTCTCCTTCTGGTGCACTTGGCCTGGACCCTGCGGTGCCTCCCACGCGGAGGTGAAGGCACTCTCACGCTGTTGGCACGGCAGAGCTTGTCCCCAAGGGCGTCCACACCCCAGCACGTGCTGGGGACAGGTGCACACGTGCGAGCAGGTCCGCCCCCACACGCCGCCCCTGGAGGTCACTGCGCTGGGAGTGGAGACCAGCCCGGAACACAGTGCTGGTGTGAAGCTGCCATGGGGCGTTCCAGTGACCGGCACGTTTCAAACGCCCCCGAAATTACTGTTTGCACTCTCCCTGTGTGTTTCCCACTGTCTCCGGCGCGCCCTGGTCGGGAGCTCTGTGGGCCTCACTCATCCTTCCGGAAGGAGGGTTCTGTGCTCCATCGGCCTCCCGGCGTATTAGTCCTACAACTCTCGCCTCTCACATTTGTCGTTGTGGCTCAGTGACGGTTGTCCACGTTGCTTCCTTCGGCCCCACGTTTAGTCAACGCCTTTGAGCCGCTGAACCAAGAATCCAGCTTTTCGTCAGGCAGTGCCAAGCCTCAAGCCCCCCTCATGTCCTTAGAAAGAGAATTGTGGCCGGGTCCATGGTTTCAGTTCAGCTCCAGCAGGGAGCCCAGC